CTTCGCGGAGAGGGTCCTTCAACATCTTTCTCTGGCACGTGGGAACTTCTTACACGCGGGCGCCGCGGGGGACAGTCCAGTATTCTGTTGCCTCAGCCTGCCGCCTTCTTTCTGACGTGAGGAGGCACTCGCTGAATTCAGGAGCTGGCAAACTGCTTTGCTCCATTAAACTGTGGTTTGCACTGCAGCAGTTTGCCAAGCCTGGCAGCTTCAGCTTCTGGTGGGTTGGGCAAAGGCCAGCAGCTTTCAGTGGGAGACAGGGCTTGGGGGAGCACAATGATGAGCACAAGTCCATGAGCACAAGTTGGGCATGCATGCTGGTCCTGAATTCTATATGTGTGCACCTATCATTTGAGGGGAGGCGGGTAGCGCTGTGGGGTAAACCACAGAGCCTAGGACTTGCTGATCAGAAGGTTGGCGGTTCGAATCCCCGTGACGGAGTGAGCTCCCATTGCTCGGTCCCTGCTCCTGCCAACCTAGCAGTTCGAAAGCATGTCAATGTGCAAGTAGATAAATAGGTACCGCTCTGGCGGGAAGGTAAACGGCGTTTCCGTGCGCTGCTCTGGTTCACCAGAAGCGGCTTAGTCATGCTGGCCACATGACCTGGAAGCTGTACGCCGGCTCCCTCGGCCAATAGCGAGATGAGCGCCACAACCCCAGAGTCGGCCACGACTGGACCTAATGGTCAGAGGTCCCTTTACCTTTTATCATTGAATGCATACAGCAGTTGGGGGGGGGGACTTGCAGCCCAAGTACCTAATTGGGCCCCCCAGGCCCCCCCTTTCAGCCTGTGGTGCTGTTTGGCCCAAGCCATGCCTACTTGTCCCCTCATATGACATAATGTGCAGAGCAGGAGAAGTGATGGAACCAAATTCAGCTGGGAGGCGAATGAAATATCTTTCTTGGCAGATCGAGCTCAGCTGGGACTGCAAAGGAAGAATCTTTGCCCCTGCGGTTTTAAGTTTAAGGCTGTGTGCATGCCAAACATTGAAAGCACACTGTCCCCCCCCCAAATAAGCCTGGGAACTGTTGTTTTCGTTTCACAGACCTACAATTCTGGGGTGACTAATGTGCTTTAAATGTCTGGTGTGTGCATGGCCTAAATCACCTGAAGTCCTATTACAGTGACCTCAAGTGATTGAAAGGTGGGCAGGCTGGGGAAAGTTTGCCACTTCTAGGTCTGGCAGTCCTGGGCACCAAAATGCTTGACTCCCAAGCTAGAAAAGCATATTATGAACCACAGGTATGGGGACTTAAGGTTTGTTTGCATGCACACAGGAACTCAAAACATATGGAGGTCAGGAATAATTCAAAAGGGTGTAACCCCCAATTTAAGTATCCATTTCTACTTCCACTTATCCATTTCTACCTGAATAAATGCCCAAACAAGGTTCTTGTCAGGGGAAATTAGCCCTTAATCCATAAGGTTCTATGATTCTATTCTTCCAAGAGTAGCCTTCCCACTCCCCTCATTCAGTGCATCATGGGAGTCATACCTCAGTGTTTCTACACATTATTCAGAACAAGGTGATAGACTGAGATGATATGACTGCCCTGATATTTTATGAGAAGGTGGTATATAAACACTATTATAAATAAATATAAACAAAGTATTCTAAACTGGATCGCTTCAGACTAAGTGGGATGGGCATATCTTTTAACACCATCTCCCAATGTTAAAAAACTCCCTGATCCCAAACCAGAGATCATGAGGTGATAGAATCCTGGCTTCTACCATTTAAGGTTAGGGTGGGGTAGAGGCACATCACATATTTAACACACTCCCCAGTTTAAAAAGCTCCCTGATCCCAAACTGGGATCCCAAATCTGAATATATGCAGTCCAGAATGCCACTACCTGGGCTGAAATTACCCTGTCACTAACATTCCATTTTACTAAACTATAACCTCCAATTGCATCTAAAGCTGGGCTGATTTCCTTTCCTTCCTTCCCCTTTGCCTTCCACCCCCCATTCCTTTTTCTTTACTGTGTTCAGCTTGAGGCTGATCTATATATACTGCTATTAACGGAGAGCAGAAAATCTTCCTGAAATATAATCACAGTGCTATCCATATGTTTGAATACCCTTTTTACTGCAGTATCTTAACATTAATGATCACACACACACACACCACAATCTAAGAACTGAGGAGTGAGGAAAAGAGACAACAAATGGTTGGCAGTTGGACCTGGGGGCAGAATTTTTGTAATGACCCGAAGTTTGACAGAGTGTCCTTAAATCATTAGACCTTTTGATGAAAATTCTTGTGGGCAATTAACATTTCAGTTTCAGATATTGCTCTTTTATTCTTCTTTCCTTTTCCTTCCCCAGATGAAACAGTCACAGCCGCACCCTCAGACCAGCCCTTTCCTCTTGCACGCTCTCTCCTCTGTGCCCCTGGCCTGTGAGGGTCTAATTGGAGTGCAGACAATGATGGCATTGAGTTGCCTGCAGTGTGAATGCTCAGTCTGTCCTCTCCCAATGCCAGCACCGGCAGCTGAGCCCCAGATCCTTGCAACAGCTTCGCCAGCTTGACCCAAAGAGCACAGAGCAGCTCGTGCACCATCGCCATCATTGCACAAGGATGGGAGATTAATTAAGTAAGCGGGTAGGGGGCAGTTAGCCTGGGATGATGGCTCAATCAGTGTCGGTACCCTCCCCCTTTCCCCATTCCTCACATACATGAGACAGCCATGCCCAGGGACAATCTTAATGATGCTGCCAGAGTCTGGAATCTGGCTACAACCAGGACAAGAGCATGTGACAGAGGAAAGGATTAATAGGAAGAGAGCTTATCTCCCCCCCCCCCCCATTATAGCCAACAAAGGTCCAGACTAGGGAATCCTTCTGAACTGTTGCCATCTTGCTCCTGCTTGCAGATGATGAAGGCATTCAACAAGTTATGTGCTTTACTTTTTCAATGGAATAGAGTCATGAGCATTTTGTTGCAGAACTGAAACACTTAGTTGTTGCCATTTGCCAGAGTTTGCATAAAATACAATGCCATCTAAATAACTGGCAAATTCATATAAACAAACTGCAAACTATGGCAGATTGTTACCTCAAACTGTAACATATATGTGCAGAGTTGTTGCCATGTTACTTCCAGATTATAAAATATATAAATAAGTGACATAAGTGCCCCTGATCCTAGTACACACACACAACAGTCAATAGTATTGGAGGGTAATGCACATTCATATCCAGATCAGTCCAGGCAAATGGTACCCAGTTTAGCACATTATTATTATTATTATTATTATTATTACCTCAAAGCGGTTTACAAACCACATCAAAACATCAAATAAAACAATCCAGAATAAAACATTACCGAATAAAGTCAAGTATACATTCAAAGCAACATAATCAACTGGCAAATGCATATCTGTGTTGGTTGTGCAAGCTTCAGCTAGTTTCTGCATGGTGGCGTCCCTTGCTATGTTATAATTAATGTATTTTATTATTTATTATTATTTACAATCTTTTTATTATTTATTAAACTAGTAAGGACTATTGGGTCTAGTGTATGCAAGCTTTGGAGCTACACAAGACTTGCTGTCAAGCAGAACAGATGGGTATTATTATTAATTATTGTAATTGTTTTCAGTCCTTTCAGCTAAATAGTGGTTTGTCTTCATGATTCACACCCATTGTGTGTCATTGTATCAGCTGATAAATTTTGGGTGTGGGGATCTTTGTTTTTCAAGCTGCAGTTTGTAATGAAAATGCTGAAATGAAATATATTAGTAAGAATTTTACACCAGCATCTTTTTACAGTTATTTTTAATTGCTCCCACAACAGAAATTGGTATTTGATACACATGCACACCATGTAACAGATTTCCAGTTAAGTATATTTGCTGTCATCAATTGCATCAAAATGCTTGGACCATTCCTCTGTACTGATTTGGTTCATTGCAAATGCAATTCCCAAACTGAAAATTCAGATGATCTTCTAAATTTTTCAATTCAATTAAAATTTAAATGAAAAAACCCCACACCTACCCTTGTAATATGCATTCTGTTGGCCTACAGTAAATACAGCTCACACTATAATGATGCCTCTGCCTTGATATGCTATTTCATAATGAAGCTTTCTCCTCTCTTGTCCAAGATGACCTTGACAAGGACACTATTGTGAAGAAGCACATAAGCTGGGGTGAAGCTTGCTACTGTGGGAAGTTGAAGGCAATCTGAAACAGCCAACTACATCGATAGCACTGCATACCTCTTCCCATGGCATCATGTGAGCTGTTCATTTGCAGTTAATAAGAGTTATTATATGTTAATTAAATACCAGTGGAGTAAAGAAAACATATTTGTCGGAGATTAACAATTATGCAATGCGAGTAGCATCTGCCACACAACTGCTAAATCTGGCTAAACATTTCCTTATCTCAGAGTATTTACTTAGGAGGCAGTTACTATCCTGTTAAATCTAAATTTAATGCCTAGTTAAATATATTTAGGGTGCACTTCATGGGAAATGGCATCAATATGTTTTATATGGAGAATAAGAGAGGGCTTTGTAAGATGAAATAAGGCAATAAAAGCTTTCTGCAGGTTCCAGTAAGTATTGAATGCCAGATGAAAATACAAATGGCAAGAAAATTCCTCTCCTCTCGAGGGAAGACAGAAGACTAACAATTACCTTGCTGTTTTGGTCGCAAAATATCTCCAGAAGTGGAAGCCTTCCCCCCGCCCCACCAAGTCTGAGAAACTGCAGGAATAATTTGAGTAAGAGGGGAAACTGCAAACAGGAGCAACAAACAAAAGAAAAGCAGCAGAACTGCAAAGACTAGTGAAAGCAGGGCTGAGGAACCCATGACACTCCAGATCTTGCTGGACTACAACTCCCATCATCCTTGACTACTGGGCATGCTGACAGGGCCTAGTGGGAGTTGAAGTCCCACCATATCTGAAAGGCCACAGGTTCCCCTATTCTGACTTTGTATTTTCCCTCCCAATTTTTAAGAGACTCATATTGCTACAACAACTGTGATTGGATTCGTCGGTAGAGCATGAGACTCAATCTCAGGGTTGTGGGTTCAAGCCCCACTTTGAAAGATTCCTGCATTGCAGAGAGCTGGACTAGATGAACCTTGTGGTCCCTTCCAACTCTACAATTCTATGCTGTGATTCTATCACAACTCCAGAGAAAGCTATCATTTCCTCTGTAGTCCAGTGAGACTACAGAGTTCTTCCTCCTAACTGTACACATCTCCACCTGCTAGATTCACTCCACTGCAAGGGCCTGCTACTTCTGTTTCCCCAAAATGATCAATATCAACAGGCTCTTGGCTCTTTCTTGCTGTTTTCTCGCAGGCTATAGCAGCCACCTTGTCAGTCTCTGCTCAAATCTTGGTTGCTAGGATCGCATATCTTGCTCCCTGCATTGGCCAGTTCAAGTCTTTTCATTGTTTACCAGTCTTTACCCTAATTCAAGATTCCTGCCCTCACCTTTTAAGGCTTTTTGCCACCCTTGCTTTTATCTCTTACTTCTGATAATACACCTGATTGAAAATATTGCTCATATAGTAAAGGAAACGTTAGCACTCCCAGCTATACATTACTGGATAGGGTTCTTTGACTTAAGATCATTTGGCCCATTCTCTCTGTCTTGCTCATCTTTCAAGTCCTGCTTAAAGCCAAATATTCTTGCAAAGCTGTTTTTAAAACCTTTTGCTTATAGGTTCCGGAAATTTAAATGGTAGCAATCATGCAGCACAACATAGAATATGACCTCTAACTTGCAATTCAGTAGCTTGAGAAAGAGCAGGCTAAGGTGACTAAATCTGATGTGTGTAAAATGAATCCCTGATAATATTGTACCTGAAGGAGAAACCCACTCTTCGACCAATGGAAAAGGAACCCCATTCCTCTCTGTTTTTAATTTGATAGAATCTGAAAATGTACTGACAGAGCATGTGCTAACAAGGAAAGCTAGAAAATTCTCTCTTTTTTGTAAAAAAGTTATGATTCTTAGGGTCCTTCTTTTTAGAGATCCTGAAAAGGGACAATACAGAATACATTTCCACTAAGTCTTTGGCTATTATATTGCAAAATCATCCCATAGTGGCTTAATCTTGACCTTTAAAAAGCCAGCCCAAATAGGAAGGTCTCACAGGTAAAGTAGAGTGATATTATTGATCTTGAAGATTGAGCTGTGATATATTGGAGATTATACTGTCTCATATATGTAGGGCTAGTGCCCAAGCCACAAGGTTAGAGATTTGTATGTCAAAACTAGAACCTTGAATATTCCCCCAAGAAGCTTTTTAAAATCTTCAGATGTCTTGGAGCAAATATGTAATGTCCTTCCAACAACTTCTGCCCCCACAATGAGACTATAGGGACTTGGTTACTGATTGTCCTTGACTGCATACATATTATATATAAGCAATTTAAAATGTTGTGTGACAAAAGATTGTTCTCACTAATTCCTTCCCACAAACCCTTTGGACAGGTTTGTACATAATGGTGCTGCAGGAATGGAAACTTCTCACATACTGGCAAAATGTTGTTTCTCAGGCCTATTCAAAATTGCTAAGGCTGGCTCTTCCTAACAAACGCCAATGGACCCCAAAAGACTATTTTGATATTGACTATTAGTAACGGATGAAGAAGCTGCAATGCCTTGCTGAAATGAAACAGGCTATATATTCATTTGCCACTGTAAAATGTGTATTTCTGAATGAAAAAGACAGCACAAGGCTGTAGTACTGTGCATTTCCCTGGGTGGACCCATTATCGTAGTTTCCACAGAGCTCTCTGAGGTGTCTGATGAGCCAAGAAAATGACTCTCAGGATTTTTTAAATGGTATCAGTAGAAAGTGAACTGTCAAAAAGCTTTAAGTATGACAGTCTGATAGATGAATTTGTACATAAAATATTGGAGAGGTCCCACTGAAAGTATGACCTCCTTCAGATTCAGATGCTAAAAAAGCTCACAATAGTTCTGCAGTTTGAGACAGTGCTTATATGTTTCTTTGTTTTTTAAAATGCATTTATAAGATGAACTGATTTTCAAGGAGAAAAACAGGACACCTGCCCAGGCATCTATTTTTGCTAGGAGAAGAGGAGAAGCAAGTGCAAGATAGATTTTTCTCCAGCTAGGAATGGAGATGGAGAAAACAGAAATGGCCATTCTTCTGCGAACTTTCTATGCTTTTGTGATTTCCCACTCATCATTGATTTTGGTGTCTCAATATTCCCTCCCCCCTCCCATCTTATATTATCAACTCCATCTTCCATCTGTAGCCCTTTCCTTTCATGTGACTTTTTTTTACTCATTTTTTTTATTTTGTGAAATCAAACCATGGTTTGGGACATTACTCCAAATGCTTAATTTACTGCAGCTTAGAAAATGTTCCAAAAAGTGTATTCCACCAGGAGTGCTTTGTTATTATTGTAAATGGGTCTTTGACTTGGCCCTTCTAGTCTTATTAGCCAAAATCTTCCTCCACCATTATGAACTAAAAATATATGATTGCATCTTACTAAGTCATACTCAGAATATTCCTATTGACATCAATGGATGTAAATTAGTTGTGTCTACTGATTGCAATGGATCTACCACACACACAATTTCACATCTTGCAAATAACGTAGAAATTTTTCGTGATGCCTCCTCAACCCTTCAGTTTTGACACACATTCTTCTTTTCAAACGCAAGGAATTGGGTGGGGACTAGGGTGAGAAAAGTTGACTGCAATACGCTAATACTGAGATCCATGTGCAGGAAGGTGACGCTCTGGGGGGAAAATGTAAATGGATATAATCATGGTCTGGTTGGGGAGAAATCTGTGATGGAGTTTCCATTTTCTAATGTTGGCCAATCTGTATTCCACAAGAGGCACCCAACGAGAACGTTTTAAATTTTAAACAGTCCCTTCAGCAGTCAATTCTGGAAGAGCATGGACTCATAATGCCTTGCCAAGAAAACTTCCACTAACTTAATGTGCTGTAATTATAATGAGCCCTCTTTTCCTGTCATTACTCATTGAACACCCAGCTACCAGAAGTCAAGCAGAGCAAGCTATTAGCAGCCAACAATAGTGCTTTTCACACAATCAGTGTGTGAATGAATAGGAAGGGGAGAGGGAGAAGCAGGGGCAGCTGAGGTGTTTCGGCACCTCGGGCAAGACACCCCACTGCCACCCTTGATCTGACCCCCGCCCTGACAAAGCCTCACCACTAGGCAGGAAGGCAGGCTCCGCAAGGGCATCTCCTTGAGGAAAGCCATTGCAGAACCTTGCCACCCTGCCAGGTGGGTGAGGGGAGACTCGAGACTCCACAGGCAGCACACCGAGGCTCTGGCCATCACAAGAATGCAAGAAGGCCTCTGCTGTGAGGAATGGGAAGGCATACTTATGCTGTGGTCCTGGGCAGAGCCTCAGTGCACCTGCACCATGCCTCCTGCTCCCCCATAAACCACCTTGTTGCGGTGTAGGTGTCCTGACACTCTGGGCAGGCCACTGTAGTGCTTGTGCACTTGCATGTGGCAGTGATGGGTGGGGCGCTGCAGAGGAGGTGGCAGATCTGACCTCCAAGGAGTGCACCGCAGCTGCTGTTGCCACTGTGGCAGCAGTGGGCAATGTGTTCATTGGAGGCCGAATCTGCTGCCCCTGTGGATCATGCCACCCGAAGCGGGCTGCCTCATGTGTGTGCAAGCCCTGGGGACAGGGATCATGGCAGCAGGACCTGTTCCAAATCTATACACATCTGCTAGATTGAAATAACAGACCCTATATGCATACAAATGCATTGATTTATTGCATTTATATCCTACCTGTTTTCCTCATTTAATCCCCACCACAACTCTTGAGGTAGGTTTGGCTGAGAGTGAGTGACTGGCCCAATGGAGCTTCATGGCTGAGTGGGGATTTGAAGTCCGGTTTCCTAGGTCATAGTCCAATACTCTAACCATTACATTACACTGGCTCTTTCCATGTGATTGAGAACCCTGCTTTATGCAAGTTCCTAGTCTCATATGTAGAGTTTGTATGTGTGCAGAGTCTCTTTTGATAGTTAACTAAGGATGTATAGGTCTTATGTACAGGGCCCGCTGTCATGATCCCACTCCCCCCTCATATCCACCATTTGTTAGCATTCAGTCCATATACTGGTGGTATTAAAAGTGCTCCATATCAGGTTTCACAGTTCAGTTCAGCTGAAAACCATCAAGCCAAGAAGTTACCTTAAATCTGAACAAGGGGGGAAAGTCCTGTGAAGGATACACTTTAAGGCTTTGCACAGACTACTAGGTGAAGGCTAGCTCCTTTGGTTTGATCTGAAAGGCAGTGTACAAAGTGGGCATTGTCTTCGGGTTGTGAAGTGAAATTGGCTCTTTGATTGAAGCTGTCTTGCTCCAGTTTACAATGTGGCTTTGAGTATCTTTCAAATGGAGGATAAGCTTACTGAAAGAATTAGTCCCCGTTTTAGACGTTCCAAATGACAAATTGCTCGACGCATTTGAGTACTATTTATGGACTCTCCACTGTAGATATTTCAGATTCAAGTAGCATAAAAATATAAGGAGAGAGCTGCTGGATCAGGCCACCTAGTTCAGCATCCTGGTCAGCATCCCAAATACTCCTGGGAAACCCACAAACAGGAAATGAGAGAGAGAGCAACTGGTATTCAAGGAGATACTGCCCCCAATATGGGAGGAATTACAGAACGGTACAGTTGGAAGGGATCCCGTGGGTCATCTAATCCAATCCCCTGTAATGCAGGAATCTTTTTGCCCAATGTGGGGCTCAAACCCACGACCCTGAGATTAAGAGTCTCATGCTCTATAGATATCTTAACTAGTAGCTATTGAATTTGTTAATAAAAACATAAGGCAGGAGGTTAACCTTTCATGCATTTGACAGATTGGGTGTTTTCCACAAAAGCTTATGTTAGTCTTTAAGGCCCAACCAGACTTTGTTGTTTTTGTAACAACAGACTAACATGTCTATCACTTTAGAGGGAACCATGCAGAAGATGTAAATTCATCTTTTCTGATGCCCAGCTCCATATAACAAGCTGCATATGTCTCTTCTTTCATGGTCTAGTGATATAAGTATAGAAGTATACAAGTATATAAACTCTTTTAAGTCAGGATAGAAAATATGCCCCAATTCTCAAGTGGATACAAACCTTCCACCTTGAATCCTAACTTGGTTATCCTTTGGTCAGTATGTGAGAAACCAAATCTACATGTGGTAAAATCAAAACCATCTAAACTTCAAAAAATTGATTCGCAGTCTTACAATGCACAGTTTTATACACATTGAACACAATGGGACTTACTTCTGAATAAACATGCATGGGATTGTGCCATAAGGTTGCAATCCTAAACACACTTCCCTGACACTATCTCATTGAACTGAATGGGACTGATCTCAGTAGACATGCATAGGATTGCACTGTGGTTTTAACTGACTTAAACTTTATCTTCCATTTGAGACCTGGTTCTTTATTCTGAACTCTACCCACTTTTTCATTCTCACTCTCTAATGAGACCCACCAAGTTGCCCTTTTGGAGAGCTCCACAGAAGAGTTCAGCATCAATGATCCTGAGCTTCTAATCAAGAGAGAAAACGCTTCCCCCACCTTTTCTTTCTTTTTGTCCTCCAAGCCATAGTACTGTGGTCTTAAACTGCTTAAACTAGCGGGTCACAATGACCCACATCAACTTAAGTGGGCTGCCCCAGCAGTGCAAAAAGCAGTTTTGAAGTTTAGTTTTTTTTTAACAGAGGAAGTAAAGAAAATAGGGCGGCCTACCTTTCAGAAAAGAAAAGAAAACTCCAGCTCATTCCAGTGCCTTTACCCAACAGCTTTTGCTGATACCAGCAGATGAAGCATTTCTTTCACAGCATGGAGATAAACATGGGAATCTTAACGATCATCTTCTGCCATATTTACAGTCCCATGCCAACCATTTGATAGCTGAACCCCTGCTTCAGGTCTGCCCACTGGCTAAGGTTTGGCAGGGAGGCACAAAACAGGACCTATTTTATTGTGGCACTGACTCTGTGGAATATGCTCTCTAAATGGACCCTATATGGCTCTGCCATTATATGCCACCCAACAGCTGGCAAAGATCTGGCTCTTCAGTGGGGAAGATCAACCAGTAATCTGTAATGTTTGCTGGTTTTGTTATCATAATATTTTATCATTCTGCTTGACATTGTTTTGGTTCTTTCCATCAGTTTGTATCAACTGCCCAATGGGAAGGAGCAGGGGGGAAGGGGGGAGGCAAAGGCAAAGGCAACTTCAGTCTTTCTTCTAGACCAGAGATGGAGGAACTTTTTCAGCCCGAGGTTTGCATTCCCTTCTCTTCAGCCTTCTAAGGGCCAGTAGGCAAAGCAACTTATGTCAATATTTACCTCTGCACAGTAGGTTAGCTTCCACATAAACTACCACATCCCACTTCATCCTTCATCAAGACAAGCAAGAAGCATTATCAGAGTTCAAGGACACAGGATATAATTCAATACCAGGCTCTTGCAAACGCTCCATCTGTGTGTGCATTGCAGCTTGCCAAGTGAAACAACCCCCCTCCTCTTCAATTTAGGAGAGGGGGCCAAGTCCCAATGTGAAAGGGGAAATTGTTGCACAGGCCTTCTAACAGGACACGTTAGGTGAATCGTGCCCATGTTCTAGCCAGGCAAAAACACCTGGGGTGCAAAGCAGGGGCAGTGAGGGGTTTGGTCTAGGGAGAGTCCCAAGGGCCAGTTAGAAAGGCTTGGAGGGCCACATTTGGCCCCTAGGCCTGAGGTTTCCCACCCCTGCTCTAGCTGAACTGCCCTGTCTCCCAAGGCCATCTACCGCCAACTACCCTGTGAGATGTATTTCAGGGAAGAGAATGAGGGAAGCAGACAAAGATAAAGTTAGGTATATACTCCAGCTCTCTGTGCTCCCACATGGTCATCACCTATCAACTGCCCTGTGTGAAGGATCCCGGTGACCTACACTTTCATATTTTTAATTGCAATTGTATTACTTTATCTTCTCTGTATGGATGCTACTTGTAAGCTGCTTTGGAAGGACTTATAAAAAGGTGGCGTATTGATAATTAATAAATAAAGTCTGGATGATGTTGGTTACTTTGGCTTCCTATGGTGGAAGAAAAGTGACAGATGCCATTTTTGCCCATCAATCGGTCAATCACAAGTGAAGTAGGTAGATGGAAAATTGGCAGCCTTAAAATAGAAAAGTCTTGTAGGAGAAAGACTGACAGAGAAAACACTGACAGGACACCTGCAATTATTATTTTTTTAACGCTACTCCCGTATTGTAGGTTGTGGTAAAAGGCAAATCCACTGTCAGGAAAGGTTGAAGACCACTGCTATAGCATACTAAGGCAGGCTCTCGCCATCAGTGGGGTTAAAAGAAGCAGCTGAAGCTGTGTTGCATTCACCTCCTGATTGGGTCTGCTCTTATAGCTTCATTAACTTCATAATTACAGTCTATCCAATAAAGATATCTATCTCCCTGTATTCTTAAAACCATTCATCTCTCTATACATCTGTCCAAACACATGGCAGGTTTATGAGAAGATATTACAGGGAAAAGAGAAAATGAGGCCCAGCTCCATCTTACCAAAGCGTGAATTGCTTTGTCCATTCAGATGGTCTGTGATTGAATATGCTATGGGGCAGAAGCTTCCCTACCTCAACAGAGGGCTAAAGCACAAAAGCTCAAGGTTGTCTCTAAAAGAACAGATTGGATTACTTGGAGACTTTTGGGGAAACTGGGCTCGGCACATGGGCAAGAGCCACCCTCTTTATATGCTCACTCCTTTTTTTCCTGCTTGTTAATAACACAACCTATCAAGAAAGAAAACCATCTCCTGTTTTCTGGATTAGGCGTTTTTTCCCACCACAAAATAGCTCTCCATGGCACATGCATCATTATGTCAAATTGTTAGTGTTTTCCTACAATGCCACCTGTCCCTCTTTACAAAATAATGTCTTCTGCCTCCCAGGCACCTGTCTGGTTTTTTTTTTTGCAGAGCTGCAAAGCTTGGCATATCACAGGATAATTTTGCCATGAGTGTACTCAGTGGCAATTGTGAATCTCTGGGAAGGAAGAACCTGAAGATCATATAGCCCCAGTCCTCTAAACAGAATGAGGTTTCCATGTATCTAATTTACCCTAATATACTAGCCCTTATTATGTATAATATACCACACAAGAAGAGATGCAAAGTGCACCACACGAAAGATACCTTCGAACAGATAGCTAGCTCTACAAGCCATTTTAGATACATGTTGATGGAGAAGTTCAGATTGTTAGCAGCAGTAGAGACTAGGGATGCACAGTTTTATCCCTGGGCCCATGGAAGTAAGGAGAGCATTTAGGGTGGAATTCAGCACTGCTTACTAGGTGGTAGAGCTACAGCTGCATAAATTATGGTTTCATTCTGACAGCACTTTATTCCATTTTCCTGATGTCTCCTTTTCTGTGTTTTATGTGAATTTTCACATGACATAAAAGCCACTTCTGAACATCTAGTAGAATCTGGTGGTAGTTTAGAGCTCACTTTTGTGTTAATTGCTTCCAGAAAAGAAGAGAAAAAATCTGTTTGCCCAAAAACCCTTTAACCCAGAAAATAGTGTGTTGGTATTTGAGGTGGGATGATGGCATACAGTTCTTTCCCTCTGCTTTCATGGGTGACTTATGGGGGAACAGAAGCGCACATGCACATAAAGAGTGCAGGGGTGGCAACATAGCCAATGACATCTGTTGTTGTGTCACCTCATGTCCACTGGTGTGGATGAAGTTTAACAAGACATGGTGGTAAAGCGTTGGAAAAGCCACAGTTCCATAAAGCAACAGATAATGCAGTATAGAAGGACCAATAGAATCTGGGACAGAAGTGATAGCTTTATAACCAGGAACATGAATGCAATAATCCCCATGAGTGTTTTCACCTTCAGCACGACACCACCTCCAGGGCATCACCCTGCCTAACAAGTGACTGGTATTGCAAGATTTGTGCGCAAACAGGAGATCACATGGTAAAACTGTTCCTGAACAGTTTGAGAATTCTCATATTTGAGAATTCAGGCAGAGGAATGCAATGAAGGGGTTCTAGTCTAGGTTTCTTCCTTGCATTCTTGCTTTCCATGATGTGCTCCTTTTGGTGAGGGTGCTTTCAACCATGTGACACCTTACTTGCAGTGTTAAATAGTACACTCCAAGAGCACTTTCAACATTTGGTCAATCATGTAGAAGACCAGCTCTGGCCCCCAGTATATAACCTACTGCTGGCATTGTACTGGGTCAGGAATAAGACAGACACGTGTTGGGCCATATTTGCATTATGTGTTACTTAATGCCTTTCTGAAGATAGATATCACTATCTATCATCTATATCTCTCTATATCTATCTATCCATCTGTCTATCTGTCATCTACCATAGTGCTGAAAGTAATATTGTAGTGCTGAAAATAGTATCTAAATAAAGTCTGCATTGATCAAAATTTGCATAGTTGAAATTTTGGATGCAGTATGAATTCGTTAAGTGGAACCCAAATATCAACTTTACAGAGGAAGTGGACACTTCAGTTTCAGCAGCCAACTCCTTATTCACAATGTCATTCATTTCTTACATTCTTTTTTGAAGTCTTGCCAGTGGTTGATTGATGAACTCAAGGCATATGACGAAGGGGCAGGAACAAAACAGCAGAAATTCCAAATGCTGAAATGAAGCTGCTCTAAAAAAAAATCTATCCAAAGGTCACTCACTTGAATACATATATTTGTTAACACATATATATGTTTGGATTGGAAGAGTATTATTTAATTCATCCCTAAACAAAA